CCATCATTCTTTCAAAATGATCATTACTTATGCATTGAAACAGACACGATAATTATTAGCTTCCTGAGCTGCGGTGGCTCAAGTGGTTAAGACGCTGAACTGCAGGCTGTGGAAGGTCGGTAGTTCAGCAGTTCGAGACCCGGGTGCCGCATGACGGAGTGAGCTCCCGTCTCTAGTTCCAGCTCCTGCCAACCTAGCAGTTCGAAAGCAAGACATAAATAAATACGTAGGTACCACTGCGGTGGGAAGGTAACAGCGTTACGTGCGCCTTGGTGTTTAGTCATGCCGGCCACATGACCACGGAAACGTCTTCGGACAGCGCTGGCTCTTCGGCTTTGAAACAGAGATGAGCACCGCAACCCTAGAGTCGGATTCGACTGGCTTTCGAGCAAGGGAACCTTTACCTTTAAGTTCCAGCATCTTCTGTCTTCTTGTTAATACAGAGTTGATTAACTAATAAAAAATACATTGGAGCCCAGAAAACCATTTAGGTCTATAGATGCCTACAGTGTAGGCTAGGGGAGAGTCTTCTCCCCCACCCCATGACCTACAATATAAGAGCACATACCTATCTACTCCCTGGGCCTCCCAGCCCCCCGAACTAGATATACATCGAGCTAATAAATATGTAGCTTGCTATTTTGATAGAACATTACAAAATTACATTACATCAAGCTGTATCAGAAACATGGAGCTTCCTGCTTTTAACTGGAGTCCACGGTGAATGTGTCTTCCTTTTTACAGCTCAAATTTCAGCTTGCTCTAGCTGAGGCAAACCTAATGCAGATAACAACACTGATCCAGAAACAGAGTCATATGCAATATATTGAGTTTGCTGACCTTCCGCAAACATTTCATCTGACCACAACCAAAGGAGTTTAGAAATATTAGGTTTCAAGTCTCTTCAAATCTTAAGCGTTTCTGGGGGAAGATCCAGAAATACAAGTATTCTGCTTCCTTGAAAATCCAAGCCGCTCTGCTGATATGCTTCTGATTTATTTTTGTGTCTAATCAAGAATTATGTTGCTATTGCAGGATGATAGCAGGAATCCAAGCCCTGCCCCTGGTATTCATAGTGATTTATTTTATTTATTTATTTATTTATTTAGATATTTCTACCCCGCCCTACCCCGCAAGCGGGCTCAGGGCGGCTTACAAGGGGCGTGAGCCCATATATAAAACCAATAAAACCATAACATTTAACCAACAGTACAGTTTAACAATAAACAATAAATAATAAAGTGCTTCTATTTAACAAGATGGTCTCAGTAGTTTTAATAATGACTTCCAGCAACCCCCTATTTGGCGTGTCGCTGTCCACTAGAAAGTGCAAACTCGTCCGTTGTTCTCGTCGCCATGTAGTTCTTATATCTCCAATTGCTCGGGCGCTCCTGGCCCTGATGGTATTACCAACCGTTGGTAGTGGTGGTAGTTGCGGCCTGGACAGGGAGGATGACTGTTGTCATGATGAGCAAGACACACGGCCTAGTTGATGTTAGGTGGATTGGGCAGGATGTAGTGATCTGGAGTTTTGTGTTGAGAACAACTCCTCCCCCACATTACTGGAGGATTGGGGAAATTCCTGTGACATCAGGAGGCAGCTGGGCACATGTGCAGCCTTAGAGACAGTGTTCCAAGTTGCCCGCCGGGGGCAGGGCATTTCCCCATCATCTGCTCATCTCTTCTGCTGCAGCTTTTGTGGCTGGTGGGAGAAAAATAATGGAGACACAAAATGTTGCTGGCAATAGCATGATGTCATTTCCAGGAAAACCCCGGAAGCAATGTCAGTCCTTTCTGAGAACTGCTAAAAGCATTACGTTTCACTATATTGTTTCCAGGGATTCCCAGACAGATGTGATGCTGTTTCCAGGTTTTCTCCAGATGTGATATTACATCATAGCTAATAGTGCCCCCTTATAACCCCCTACTCCCTGTACTCCCACTGACTGCCAGTGTCTGTCAATGTACCTCGAAATTAATTCTAACCATTGGGATGTGACTGTTTGAAGAGGCCAGGAAGTGATTTCACTAGAAATGGACAATGGACACTTTTAACTATCTGATTCCATAGGAGATAGCCTATCCACCATCTGACTCGATAGGTGATATTGAAGAAGAAGAAGAAGAAGAAGAAGAAGAAGAAGAAGAAGAAGAAGAAGAAGAAGAAGAAGAAGAAGAAGAAGAAGAAGAAGAGATTGGGTTTATACCCTGCCCTTCACTACCTGAAGGAGTAGTGAATCACTTTCCGTTTCCCTCCCCATAACAGACACCCTTGTGAGATAGGTGGGACTGAGAGAGCTGTTTTGAGGACTGCTCTAGAGAGAACAGCTCTGAAAAAAACTCACGACTCATCCAAGCCTCTGGAGGGGGGGGCAGGGAAACACCAAAGCTACTGCTACAGACAGACTAACATGGTGACCCATCTTAATTAATTTATAAAATGTTATACAGCATAGGATATATTCAGGTATGGTGAAGAAGACAGGTGAAATTGCTGACATCTATAGGAATGGCACCACCACTAAACATCTCAGTTTTTAGCCTGTCTTGGTCTGTTTTAATAGGAGCTACTTTGACATTATGCAAATCACATTCTGGTGCAATCTTCCTTAAAAGGATGGCCGAGGTAGAAGACACAGAACTGAAAGTCTTGTGTTGTATTCCTCTTTGTCCTTTCAATTTTTTCCAAAACGAATGGATTCAAGACTCTTGATAAATTGCCTCTTGCTCTTCCCAGCATGTAAGACAAACTTCCATTATTCCTTTACGGGGATGTTGATATTTGGATGGTGGATATATTCTATGGTGCTATTTTCTTTGCATCTTTTAACCATACTTTTTACATTCTTTAACTTCCCTGCAGGTGTCTCTCCCCAGACCCTTGTTGAGACTGGTGGTGGCATCAAAAGACCTGGAGAGACGCTACAACTGACCTGTACAGTGTCTGGATTTTCTTTAACAAGTTATGACATGTACTGGATCCGTCAACCACGAGGAAAGGGACTAGATTGGATGGGAGCTATGTGGAGAGATGGAAACACTGCTTATAATAGCGCTTTCCGAAACCAGATTAGCTTCACAAGAGACACTTCCAAAAGCCAGGTCTACCTGCAAATGAATGGCTTGAAGGCAGAAGACACTTGTGTGTATTACTGTACGAGGCACACACTGAGAGAAATTCTTTCAGAGGCAGCACAAAAACCACACTCCCAGAAAAGCAAGCACTGCTCATGCATGTCTCTGTGTGCAGCATTTGGAGAAAGTGGTCTCTTTCATCCTGTTCATTTCTTCTGTCACTGACAACCTGATGTCAGTCGTCATTCATACTTCAACAGCACTGTCTTCGTTAGGATACTAGGGCTTTGCCCCTGTTCTCTCTGCTCGCCAACCTCATCACTCACTGTTCTCATGATATTTAATGGTTGTTTGAATACAGAACAGGTTACTCTGTATCATGCTAAAGGAGCTCCAGAAAGACCTGATTAGGTGATTGTGAGAGACATCTTCTTTTGTTGGACAACTGTAGGTAAAATTGGATTTATAACAAGTACCACACTGCACTTTTCTGTCTGATGGGTACCCAAAGCAGCTTACATTGTTCTCCTGTCCACCATTTCATCCTCACAGCAGCTGGCCTGTGAATATGAGCTGACACAAAAATGAAGACCACTTTCAAACAGCCTTTGTATTCTGTTTTAGTAACTTGTTGCTAATGGATTCCCCCCACCCCGGCATTTCAGATAGACCCATTTTAGTAACTGGTTGCTAGCGGAATGTCTTTGCCTGTTCATACAAATTCACTTGTTTCAGATTAGCAAAGTGTGGTTGAGACACTTTTGACGGAAATGGCTTTTAAAATCAGTTTTCAACCCTTTCATTGTGCTTCTGAATCACTGTGGTGTACTGTTTGAAATGTCTATAGTGCTGAGAGCCAGTTTGGTGTAGTGGTTAAGTACATGGACTGTAATCTGGGAGAACCCTTTCATTGTGCTTCTGAATTACTGTGGTGTGCTGTTTGAAATGTCTATAGTGCTGAGAGCCAGTTTGGTGTAGTGGTTAAGTACATGGACTGTAATCTGGGAGAACCAGGTTTGATTCCCCACTCCTCCACTTGCAGCTGCTGGATGAACTTGGGCAAGCCATAGTTCTGGCACAGCTTGAAGGGCAGGGTATAAATCGTGAAGAGTGGGGTATAAATCCAATCTCTTATTCTACTTTCTCTTCTCTTCTGCTTCCTACAATATTGCTTTCCTCTGCCCTTTTTTGTCTTCCTCAGCCTTTTATAAATGTTCTACGGTGAGCGTTATAGCACTAAATCGCTATAATACTGAAGTGCTATAGCAGCACCATTGAGATGCATTGACTCAGTGCTGTTACTGTTTGAAATAACCATAGCACTTCAGTGATGGCTACTAACGGAAGGAAATTTGTTGTACAGTACCCCCAACTCTGTATTCCTTTACTCAAAATCAGGCCAACAACAAATCCAATTTAGAATGGTAATGTGAAAAAGGCCT